TAAGGGATTGGGCTAGTGATGCCCAGAGGGACCCAGAGAATAGAGGAGGATTTCAAAAAGTGAGAAATGAGACAGATGAGGGGGTGGGCAGAGACACAGTGAAGTTGGCTCAAGTTGTTTTTCAAGTGACCTGGGTGTCTTGGCCATCTTTTGGTGATTGTAGTAAACGAGGATGAAGGGCACAGGACGCTTGGTCTCCATAGCAGAATATGGTAATGTAACCATCAGGTTTGTGAGATGGAAGGAAGCAAGTTGTGGACCTTGCTATGGACAGGGTCCATATTTCTAACGTTTTGGACAGTTCAACTCCAAAGGACTAGATAATTTTCCCATCTGATTTCTTCGTGCTAAAAATCATCTTGACTTGGAAGCGAGAAAAAAAGTTAATGATCTGTTTTTCTCAAAACCTTTTTTTTTTTTTAATTGCTCTGGATTTTGAGTTGTATCAGTGTAAGGAGGCTATGGCCACAGCCCCAGGATTTTTGTGACAGATAAAGAGCCATTAAAGTTTTTCTTATCTGTCAAATGTGTCTAACCATTTCCTCGTTATAACCACTTCATGGGAAATGTGCACTAATTAGATGTTCGAATAACTTAGAAGACTTTATTTAACCCTCACACAGCTTGATAGAAGTGCTTCGAAAGTATAGTTTGTTATTAGGGGGTAAGGGCTGCATTTTCAGCTGTCGTGTAACTCCCTGTGTTGTGTGCTTTGGTTTGGTTCTGCTCCCTTATTCCTACTATTGGTATGATGGTCTTCCAGCTCTGAGCTCTGTGTTTCTTTCTCTTCATTCTCCCACACTTCCACTTTTATGCCCCCCACCCAACCCTTGTCATTGGCTTCTGCACTCAGTTCAGCTTTCTTTGTGGCATTGCACCGTAGGAGACTCTTGAGCAGGAGCAGGGCAACCCTCACTGCATGCATCTGAGCAGGTGGGAACGGTGTCTTGGGTTCTTCAGGTGAGATCTGGCAACAACAGGTTCAGGAATCCTTCATTATAGGTAACGCTTAGCCATTCTAACCTGTACTGGAGTGACAGCGGGCAGAGCAGACTAGGAAGGTAACAGTCATTTGAACAGAAAGGGCTCAGGCCACATAATCATGTAGTCAGACAAGTAGGGACATGTTCTGGTTCCATTGCTTCACCCATATGTGTTATGAGCAGTTTTCCAGCCAGCCTGGTTCCACAGTCATGTCAGCCCCAAGTAATACACGGAGGCACTGTATTAATTATAAAACTTGGCCTGTAACTAACCTTTTCTTATTGGCTATCTCTGTCTTAAATATTAACCCATTTCTATCAATCTAAGTGTTTCCACGTGGTCTTATCTTACTGGAGAGAGGGTCCGGACCTCTTTCCTCAAGTCTCTACATCTTGAATCTTCCTACTACATCTCCCAGTATCCTCCTTGTCTCCTAGTCCCGCCTATCTAGCCTTCCTATTGGCCAACAGTGCTTTATTCATTAACTAGTAAGAGAAACATATTTACAAAATGCCATCTCCCATCACATATTACCTGCCACTATTACCACTCTGGTTGAGAACAGGGCCTTCTCCATCAGCACCTTTGGTGTGTCAGGCTTTTGGAGGCAAAGTGAGCCATGGGGTGGTCAACCACACATTCACCAACTGGATTGCATGTATCAAAAGTGTTAGTCTATACTAAACATGTACAGATATTTGTTGGCATTATTCCCCTGCACAACATAGGACGAGAACTATTGTTTTTCAGCATTTGTACTTACATTAGGGATTATAAGTTATTTATATACAACTTAACAGGAGAATCCAACCTTTTGACATTGTGACATGACATTGTTCATAGTTGTCTTAGGGGGGCTGTGGCCAGACCTGGTCTAAAATATTTAGGCAGCTACTAGAGAGATGGTTCAATGGTTAAGAGTATACACTGCTCTTTCAGAGGACCCGGGGTCAGTTCTCAGGACCCACAGTGGGCAGCTCACAGCCACTTGTAACTGTTTCTAGAAGATCTGGTACCTGTCTTCTCTGGCACTGCACATGTACACTCAGACATATATAATACACATAAAATAAATAGATTAGTAATTAAAGGGGGCTGGAGAGATAGTTAAGTTGTTATGGGCACTGATTGCTATTCCAGTGGACTCAGGTTCAATTCCCAGAACCCACATGGCAGCTCACAACCACATGTAACTCCAATTCCAGGGGAACACACAACATCTTCTGACCTTTTGGGGTACTGCATGCTTATGGTGCACAGACATATATACAGTCAAAACACCCATACACATAAAGTAAAAGCAAAATTTTAAAATGGAATAGAAACTCCCCCTATACCTAAAATGTCTAGGCAGATGTTTATAAGGGCAACACTACTTTTTTTTTAAATAGGGACTTGAACAACTTCAGGTTTTAGAGTGTGATATTGGTATCCTGGAACCAGTTACCCAAAGTGAAGACTGAATATGTAGTGCCTTAGATTATCCATTTGATTTCAGACTACATGCATCTGAATCCTGCCTCTGTAATGAGCTGTATTATCTAACCTTTCTGGGCCCGTTTCTTAATCTATAAAATAGACATAGTTGAGGCAGTACAGTTAATAGCTTATAAAGTGTTCTCATAATAGTAGAACCTGGCCCACAAGAAGCACCATGTAAGTCTGTGTGTGTGTGTGTGTGTGTGTGTGTGTGTGTGTGTGTGTAAATAGAGTGGAGAGGTTAGGTAACTTGCCCAAAGACACAGATGTGTTGAGTAGCAGAACATATGACTATAGTGGTTTAAATTAAGGATATTATTTTGTGCTTTTCAAATATTTTTTTTTGAAAATCTAGAACATAGATGTTACAGGCTTGAAAAGCCGCTGTTCAGAGCTGTCTCCTGGGACATGCAGGTGGATGCTCTGCTACCTAGGAGTGCTCTGTAGGAGGTATGGGCACATGGGTCCAGAGTCCAGGTAGGCAGGCAAACTGCATGGGGGATTCACAGGGACTGTTGGACACATGACTTTGATCTGGTTTTGTCCTCCAGGCTATGGGATGGCAGCCTGGCCCTCAGGCTCATTTTTGAGAGTGGTCAGTGTTGTGATTGTACCCGGAGAGGCGAACCTTCCCAGGATACTTCTTGTCTGGTTTTGGCGAACCTTCCCAGGATACTTCTTGTCTGGTTTTGGGTGACCCTCAATGAAATAATTCAGTTTCTGCTCCCCCCTTACTCTGTACCTCAGGTCCCTCATCTGTCAAAGGTGAGAGACTGAACAGCTCATGGTATAAAAATATTTAAAAAAGCACAAAATAATATCCTAATTTAAACCACTCTAGTCATTCCTAGCCATTTCAATTAGGTTCACCTTGGAGCCTCTTAGGTGGCCATACCAGCCTTGTGCTAGTGAGGCTGTGTGACAGATGGCATAACCAGCTGTAGCGTGTTCTACAGACTGGCTTGGAACCTTGGGTTTAGACATTCCTCTGTGAACATAAAACAGGAGCTGGGTATTATCTCAGCCCCTGGGAAATTTTCCTTCAGCGTGGGATTCTGTAGTCAAGAGCCAGAGCCATTGTCTGTGTCCAGGGTCCATAGCTGGCCCAGCTACCACTCTGTGGGCGCTGCCAGGTCTTGGTTTCAGCTCTTGGCACAAGGCAGCCTGGGCTCCTGGCTTCGGGTGCCTGTAACTGTTTCCTCTCATTAGCACACAGTCTTGATTCTGTGCTTGCACTCAAGGGAACAGGGAAGCAGCTGACACCTTCCCTGGAGTTCTTGTCTTCTAGGCTTGCCTTGGGGGGGGGGTCTGTGTGCATCAAACACACACACACACACACACACACACACACACACACACACACACGGCTTGCCTTGGGGGGGGGTCTGTGTGCATCAAACACACATACACACGGCTTGCCTTGGGGGGGTCTGTGTGCATCAAGTACTCTAGGGGTTGAGAATTTGCCTTAGATGAACCACCTAGCAAAATTCTTTTTTTCTCCAGAATTGGTAGTCCAGCACTGAGTCTTGGTTTGTTCTTTCGCATTTTGGTCTTTGAGAATTTCATATAGCATATCTTTATCATATTCTTTGTCATCCTTTCAGCACTTCTGTTTTGAGGGAGACAGGAAATGGGTGAGACAGTGTTAGACATGGAGAGAGCAAGGAAGGTTTTTTTTTTTTTTTTTTTTTTTTTTTCTTTTTGGAAAACTGTAGGAATTGGCCCAGCTCCTTAGTATTTACTCTAAAATAGGGTAAACCCTCAACAGACACCCAAGTATCACACGGGGAAACTTAGTATTCTTGGATCTAGACTTGACCACACCTAGGATTTCTTTTTTTTTTCCATTTGGAATAGAGTTTAATAAATCCTCCATTGAATGTTCTTGTCAAATGAGGCTCTCTGCCATCTGCTTTCCAGGATTTTTAAAATGTATTCTGCAGAGTTTTAGTCCTTTTTTTTTGCATTATTACTTTTAATGGATATATATATATATATATATATATATATCTGAGACAGGCTTTCTTTGCTGCCCTTGGCTGTCCAAGCTGGCCTCCAACTCATGAAGACCTGCCTGCCTCTGCCTCCCAAGTCCTGGGATTAAAGGCATGCGCCACCACTGCCCAGCACAAATATATTTTTCTTAAAGGAACACTTGAGAAAGCAACATACAGACTGTGTTAAAGTAGCTTCTCTCTTTGCAGAAACCACTGAAGTTTGTCATTCATCAGTGGTCGTCATGGTGATATATCCTATTGGATATATTGCTATTTGCAACATCTATTCAATTTTAATAACATTTTTCTCGGTGAAGTGTTGTCCATGTACCATCTCTGTAAAAGACAACTTGGAACACGCCAGTTGAGATGAGAAAGTTCATTCATTTTGTTCTTTTTTTTTTTTTGAATTGTGATGCGAAGCGAATGGATGAAATGACCCGGTTGCCATCTTGTGGGTCTTGAAGGCTAAGGGTGTCTAGCAGAGTCTAATGAACCACGTGTTCTGAACCTCCTCTCTCCATCTTATCCCCACAGCTCCCCTTTGAACTGGAGATTTACTACATCCAGCATGTGATGCTCTACGTGGTTCCCATATACCTGCTTTGGAAAGGAGGTAAGGCCACCAAAGCACATGCCTCTGGAATCTGCACACCTTCCCTTTCTCTCTATTTGGAGGCATCACTCTCTTGGGTGCCTACCAGGATCTGGGGATGCTGCTTGGCTGAGTATTTACAGCATGCTTAATGTTGATCCCAAGGCGCTGGGGAAGTGGGCATGAAAGAGGCCTGCAAAGAGCCTGGGGGCTGTTCAGAACCATCCCTGGTAGGAGAGCATGGTACTGCTGACTGCCTGTCACAGAACCTAAATTTTGGGTTCTTGCTGGTGGCCTGGGGTTTGCATGGCACCCAGCATAATGTGTCACCCTTGTGCTTCTGCCTACCCCCTGGGCCGGTGTGCACTTCTGAGTAGGGGAGAAGGAAGTACTCCATCCTCTCAAGAGACTTGGCATTCTTGCTCTTTATATCCATGGCCTCAAAACCAGAAAAGCTACTGAAAGGGGCAGGAAGTGTACACAATAGGAGATTATGGGATTGAAGACAGCAGATGAAAACACCAGCCTCCGTGTACAAGAAAGGACTATGGACATCGCTTTAGCACTGACCTAGGAGAGCCTGGCTGCAAAGGAACCCGAAGCGCTAGTAGTCTCTGTTTCGTACAGGACAGGACAGGACAGTTGTGTACCTTCTGCGGCTTCTCGAAAGCCTCTAGAAGTGGAGGGTTTTCTTCTCTACTCACCCAGCAGAGCCTGTCTCTCTGGGTGGCTGGGATTTTCTTGGGAGACAAACCCTTTTCCTACTGTACCGCAGCCAGTCATGTTCCATTTCTGTCACTTTCAAATTGGCCCAAAGCCACCTGTGGCCTTGAACTCACTAGCTGCCTCTTGTCATTGATTTGTCTCCTCTTCCCTGGTCCTATCACATCTGTCCCACAAGGTGACTGAATGTTCCTTGCGCTGCTTTAAGCTGGTGATACCACTAGGTGTCTCACGCTGTCAAAGAACTCTCCCCTTTCCTTTGATCTGAAAGTATTGCTTTCCCTACTGAACTTTGAGAGAAGTCTAACATTCCTACATCCAGGAGACTCCTGCTGTTGCTCAGCTCTGTCCCGGGTGCCATAGGCAACAGTCTAACAATAGTCAAATCTCAGAAGTTCGTGCATTCCAAATGGAACACCTTCTGAGATGTGTGTTGGGAAGGATGGCCACCTCCACATGCCTGTCATTGAAATGAATTTGTACTCTGAGCTCGCCATCAAAAGCTCATGGTAGACATTGGTCTACCATGGAAAATACCGGGTATTTAACGCTCTTGCTTCTGGGGTGGGAGTGGGGACTAGGGGAGAGGTAGCCTAGGATGCTGTGCCCTTTAAACAGGGTTGCTTCTCTGCAGCCCTCGGTTGGGCCTGTTTCTGCGTCTTTTGAGGCAGCTGAGCTGAGGAAGTAGGGAGTCTGAGTCTTCATGGCAATTTCTTTCTTATTTTTTGGTCTTGCAGTTGATGGGCCACTACAACACTAGCAGTAGTAATGAGAGCCTCAGTAAATAATGCTAACTGCCGTTGTCTTGACTACTTGTTCTGTGCAGAATATGGACTGTACATATTTTGTTTATGCACACTTTTAAATAGTTTATTGATGGACTCTCCTATGGACAAGAAAGTTAAGGCCAAGAAAGATTAGATGCTTTGTCCATCGCTCTAAGGAGTACACCTAGAATTCAAAGACTAGCCAGACTTTCCATGACTAAGGCTTTCTCCCACATTCTATACTGTCCAGAAGGCCAGATGTCTTTGTCTTTACCACGTTAGCCTGGGAGTTCTGATTCATGTGTGATTTCTCCTCTGCTTCAACAATTGTCAGGCATTTGGAGCTGTGAATGGGGATCTGGGGAAGGGAGCGTATTGCAACACAGCATGGTAAGTGCTACAGAGGGGAGCGTGGAAACGGAATGCCATTTCCAAAGGTCAACTCGTCTTTGTCTCTGCACCATTTCCAGGAGGATAATTATATATTCTTAGAGGAAATGCTGCTAGTACCGGAGGTCCCTAACTCAGGTGATGCAAAATAGAACCATAAGAAGAGGTGGTATACTCTTTTATTGCTAATGCCTCATTGTCACCTGAGACTGGTGAGGATTTAGCTGCCAAGACAGGAAGAATGCTGTCCCTTTCACTCCGTGTCTGGGTGAGAGCACCTAACCAACCTATAAATCTCATGTCTGGATAGTGTACAGTGATTTCCAGGGCCGGGCTCCTTTTCTAACTCTTTGCTGCCCTCTGCTGTTCACTTGGGAATTGTGAGCACGAAGAGCCAATCCTGAATCTCTTCCAAAGTAAGGCTAGTTTGCTTTTGGTCCTTAGCCTTGGGCTCTAGCCCTTCAGGAGGAGGCATGAATCTGGAGAGATGAGACAATAAGTCCCTGGTAAAGCAGGGAAAGTACTTTTAGGTTTCCATTCTCCTCACAACTCTGGGAATTTTCCTGAAATAAATGCTTGGTAGTTTTGGCATGAGCACAAAGTTCCTGTTCATGGGGCTCTGGTGTGGGGTATTAAGTGGGATCCCATTCCCTTCTTATTTCCACAAGGCTTATATATCCTCACAGGCCGTATAGCCATAATGTTCTTTTCCAGCACCAGCTTGGTTCTCCCCTTTCCTCCCAACTCTTTGCCTTTGCTTTCCTGGATTAATTTTTTTTGCCCCGCCCTTTGTTATTGTTCATGTTTGCATGTTTTTTATTGTATCTTGCCACGTTACAGTTGTATATGCACATAGGGCACGCCGTGACACTACACTCGCGGCAGAATGATTGAATCTGCATATACACACGGCACAGGAAAAGGTGAAGCTTCTATGGTGTAGAGGGATTGAATCATGCTAATGAAGCCTCCCGTCTTGGGAACACCCCGTACCTGGCCAGCAGCTCTCTACAGAGCCAAGACTCTTACAGTTTCCCCAAGGCTGTGTAGTGTGGCGTGCCCCATGGGTTACCTGGTAACTCCACTGTCTCCTTTAGGTCATTGTTTCATCTCAACTTGAGGGCAAAATGCTTTCTCCTTTATCATTCTCTTTATCACCTTCCCCTCCCTCTTCCTCACCCCCTTTCCTCCTCCTGGTTCCCTTATCTCCTCTTCTGAGTGTGAGGTGAGAGGCCCCCATACATACCACCATGCCTGGTTTCCGCAGGGCCAGGATCAAACTCAGGATCTTGTGCTTTCTGGGCAAGCAGTCTTTCAGCTGAGCTGTGTCCCGGTTCCTTCTCGCCTCTGCTCTCCGCCACCATCACCCGATTTCTCGTTCACTTCCCTTACATTCCTGGAAATCCGTGGTTCTCAGGACTTCCATTACAGGGTTAGGAGGCATTCCGAGAGACTTCTTTTGAAGCGTGTTAGCGCACACTTACCTTCTCAAGGTTTGGGCCTGTAAATTGCACTGGCTTCCGGATGCCCTTTCTCGTTAGCTGCCATGGGCTCGCTTTCCCCCGAGACTGCTCTGCTTGAGATGATAAACTGCTCTGTCTGTTTCTTTGATCTGTAATGCCACTCTTTTCAGGGTCTTGTCTCCCCCGGTTAGCTTATAGCACCGTGATCAGTTACTGGAATTTGCCTTTCACAAGCTCCTGAAAGTTTCGTACCCCTGCTGTCTGTCGCTTGTAACTGGGAGCAGTTTCTGGCTCCCAGGCTTAGCCTAGTGGAGAAAATCAAGTGACTCCCATGAAGGCCACTGAGGCTCTGCTGTGTCTATGACAGCTTCAGTCCACGCCATTGCTCATTTCCTTTCTCTCTTTGCACGTTGCTCTTACAAGTCACGTGTGGACTTTCTCACCCTCTTCCAGTATCCTGCCCACTACACACCAACTTCCTGTTCTTTCTTTGCGTGTGCAAAGCTCAGCCTGCCCCGGGACTGAGAAAATAGAAGTTAATATATGGGAATTCTCCAAGTCTGCTCTCCCCTTCTTTAGCTCCTTTCTTTCCCTACACCACCCTGATTCATATGTTCATGTTCCTTCTTCCATCTTAGAAGAGGTAGTCCTGACAGCGGCCACTCACCGTTGTTACCCTCTGTACCTCATGGGGAAAGCTCATTTCTTCAGTTCTTTGCTTGTTTGCTTGGTTTGGGTTTTGGCTTTTCAAGACAGGATCTCTCTGTGTAGCCCTGGCTGTCCTGGAACTCACTCTGTAGAGCAGGCTGGCCTTGACTGCAGACATCTATGTAACCCTGCTGGGGTTAAAGGCGTGCACCACCCCAGCAACGATGTTTTAGTATTCTCCTTTCCTCCCTCCCTCCCTCCCTCCCTCCCCCTCCCTCCCTCCCTCCCTCCCTCCCTTCCTCCCTCCCTCTCTCTTGGTTTCTCTCTCTTTCTTTTTCAGACAGGGAAGCCCAGCAAGTTCTGTCCTTGTTTTTTCCTTCTTCTCAAGCATCTAAACAAATTAAGGGCTTGTCCACTCCAAGCATAGTTACAAGTACAGAATCATAAACGTACTTACGATGTTTTGACTTTTTTTTTTTTTTTTGGTGCGTGTGTGACTCATTTCTCTTGCATGAATTTTGTAGAGGCCACAATATCATAGTGTAAATAGTATTTCCAAATGGTCACCTCTCTAGGTATGATGAACATCTATTATTGTAATATAATATATGTTCTTGAATCTATTGACTTTTTTTAAAAAAAAAATACCATTACTTTTAAGGCAATCCTCATAATGTTCTTTAAAGCATAGCTTTGATTTCCTGTCTATTTTTAGACATTTGAAATATATATCACTATTAAAAATGCTTTCCAGCCATATTTTACCTCATGAACTTTGTAGACTGCTGTCTCAGTCTGCCTTCTCCATTAATCCTTATGATCGTGCAGTCTGAATCCGCTCTCTTACCAAGATCTTCACAGAAATGGTGCTACCAATGATTCCCAACACAACCCATCTGGCCAAACCTAATGACCAACCTCTATCTCACCATTTTGTGTATTTTGTAGCTTAACTGTTAGTCGGTGTGGGGCTGGCTGCTGCTCGTGAGTGTGTGTGTGTGTGTGTGTGTGTGTGTGTGTGTGTACGCGC